CCTTCCTTCCTTCCTTCCTTCCTTCCTTCCTTCCTTCCTTCCTTCCTTCCTTCCTTTCCTCCTTCTTTTCTTTTCTTTTCTTTTCGAGATGGTGTCTTGCTCTGTCTCCTAGGCTTGAGCACAGTGGCGCGATCTCGGCTTGAACCTACACCTCCTAAGTTCAAGGGATCTTCCCATCTCAGCCTCCTGAGTAGCTGGAATTACAGGCGTGTACCACCACGAACGTGAGGGATTTTCTAGAAATGCAATTCAGCATCAGAAGGCCAGTTTTCTGCTGATCTTAATACAAGTTTCAATTAAACTTTCCAACCGGGAAGTGGGGTGGAAAGTTAGGATCACTTCAAAGAGTCTCTCCTTGCTAAGTTAAAATTAGTTGTCAAACCCATGCCATCATTGACCACCATAGCCACTGCAGAAATTTCTGTCTTTTCTTATTATTTTCCTTCACATTAAATCTGTTTATCTGGCCTTGAAAGTAGATAGTGCTCAGAACTGCTGTGATGATCACTTCTGCTCTCTTAGGGGCAGGCAGGATACAAGCACTCTGTCTCCATTTTCGAGGTCAGCCCTTCCCAGTTTCTCCCTGAAACGGCTTGGATTGCAGCAGTCGGAGAAAGAAGATGCCAAAGTTGTGCCACCCTGTATTTTTCTCCAGACAAAAAGAACCAATAGGATGTGTAAGATCGGCGTGGTGAGTTGGCAGGCAAGCAGGAGACCCAGGAGAGCCGATGGTGTAGCTCCAGTCCAAAGGCCAGCAGGCTTGAAATCCAGGAAGAGTCAACGTTTTTGTTCCAGTCCAAAAAGAGGAAAAAGCCAATGTCCCAGTTGGAAGGCAGTTCAGCAGAAGGAATTCTTTCTTCCTTGGAAAATAGTCAACTTTTTTGTTTTATTCAGGCTTTCAACTGATAAGATGAGGCCTACCCACATTAAAGAAGGCAATTAGCTTTACTCTGCCTACAGATTTAAATGTTTTTCTCATTCAAAAACATTTTCCGCAGAAACACGCAGAGTATGTGTGACCAAATATCGGAGAACCCATAGCCCAATCAAGTTGACACATAAATTAACCATCACAGGCCCAAACCCGGATTTCATATTGTCTTTAGTATTGGCTAACACTTACTTCCAGTCCACTAGGTATGGGGCACTTAGCTGGGTCATAGGGATGGTAAGAAACGTAAGATACAATCTCTCCCCTTGAGGAATTCGTGATTTATTGATAACAGTCCTCTAAAATGTATTGTGATTGATGACTGTTCAAAGTAGTGGCCATTATTTTATTGGAACCTCACAACCATCCTGTGAGACAGGCAAGGGAGGTATCCTCCCCACGATGCAGATGAGGAAACTGAGATTTGGAGAAGTGAGGTGAGTTGGCCAAGAGCTCAAAGCTAATGTGAGGCAGAGCTGGGACATAAAGCCAGGCTTTCTGATTTCACACCACTTCTCCTTTAAAACTTAGTCAATTCTGCCAAGCGTTTACACTTCTGTCTGTCAGTTCCTCTGTCAGCCCTTGAGGAAGGGCACTGCCACTCACACCCTTCTGGTCCCTCTTAGCGGCGCCCTGCATGCAAGCATTCGGTCTGCATCTATTGAACAGAGCTGCTGATAGTCTCTTTCTCTATTCTACAAGTGACCTGTGAATAAGATTACACGTCCTGGAGGTTATTGTTTATTGGGTAGACTTTCTGTTTTGTGAGATTAAAAAAGTTCTGGAGGCCGGGTGTGGTGGCTCATGCCTATAATCCCAGCACTTTGGGAGGCAGAGGCACGTGGATTGACTGAGCTCATGAGTTGCAGACCAGCCTGGGCAACATGACGAAAACCTGTCTCTATCAAAAATACAAAAAATTAGCCGGGCATGGTGGCACATGCCTGTGGTCTCAGCTACTCAGGAGGCTGAGGTGGGAGGATCACTTATGCCCAGGAATTCAAGGCTGCAGTGAGCTGAGATCATGCCACTGCACTCCAGCCTGGGTGACAGAGTGAGACCCCATCTCAGAAAAAATAAAAATGTTCTGGAGATGGATAGCTCATATGGATGGTGATGATGGTTGCACAACAAGGTGAATGTGCTTAATACTACTGAACTTTACACTTAAAAATCATCAAAATGGTAAATTTTTTTTTTTTTTTTGAGACAGAGTCTCGCTCTGCCGCCCAGGCTGGAGTGCAGTGGCGTGATCTTGGCTCACTGCAAGCTCCGCCTCCCGGGTTCACACCATTCTCCTGCCTCAGCCTCCCGAATAGCTGGGACTACAGGCGCCCGCCACCTCGCCCGGCTAGTTTTTTTGTATTTTTTAGTAGAGACGCGGTTTCACCGTGTCAGCCAGGATGGTCTCGATCTCCTGACCTCGTGATCCGCCCGTCTCGGCCTCCCAAAGTGCTGGGATTACAGGCTTGAGCCACCGCGCCCGGCCCAAAATGGTAAATTTTATGTTATGTGTATTTTACCTCAATTTAAATAAAGACTACAGGTACTGGATAAGCCATTTCTTTTCATGATTGATATAGTTGGTCCAAAAAACATAACAATTACCAATCACAGCTGCCATTTAGCTCATCAGCTACAAATATTTTGTGTTCTTCTCGTGCTAACACACTTGTAGACATAAAGCTGGTGGGGATATGACCCCTGTATCTTTTAGTTAGGGAGACCAGACTAATACAAAGGAGCATGCAAGAGTTAACAATATGAGATAAAATGTATCAAATTGAGGTGTTAAATAAGTAGTAGAAATAAGAAATGCTTGGACATTTAAAATACCAAATCAACTTGGCATTTATTCAGCATCTATAACAATATAGGAATTCTGCAAAATTTTAAAAGGGCAAAGCATATAATTACCTTTGTTTTGAACTTTCAAGTGGTTTCCATTTAGATTCAACTTTAGAAATCCCCAGTTCCTAGGATGTGAAGCAGTTGACGGCTCGAATTTGGCCTGATTGGGCCCTGGAAGCTCCTGGGGTGTTTGTTCATCAGATGATCGGCTAATTTTTGTTCCTGGGTTCCTTTTCTTTACTTCCTGGAAGTACTTGATCAGGATGCTGACAAAGGTTCACTTCATGACCTCTCTTCCATAGGATAAAAGGAAGTGGAGGCTGGATGCTCACTCGGCGAATAGACGACCTGTGGGAACTTTATCCGTCCTTCGACATCGTGGTCAACTGTTCAGGCCTTGGAAGCAGACAGCTTGCAGGAGACTCAAAGATTTTCCCTGTAAGGGGCCAAGTGCTCCAAGTTCAGGCTCCCTGGGTGGAGCATTTTATCCGAGATGGCAGTGGGCTGACGTATATTTATCCTGGTACATCCCATGTAACCCTAGGTGGAACTAGGCAAAAAGGGGACTGGAATCTGTCCCCAGATGCAGAAAATAGCAGAGAAATTCTTTCCCGATGCTGTGCTCTGGAGCCCTCCCTCCACGGAGCCTGCAACATCAGGGAGAAGGTGGGCTTGAGGCCCTACAGGCCAGGTGTGCGACTGCAGACAGAGCTCCTTGCCCGAGATGGCCGGAGGCTGCCTGTAGTCCACCACTATGGCCATGGGAGTGGGGGCATCTCGGTGCACTGGGGCACTGCTCTGGAGGCTGCCAGGCTGGTGAGCGAGTGTGTCCATGCCCTCAGGACCCCCATTCCCAAGTCAAAGCTGTAGATGACATAAAATGACAGCAAATAGACTGAGAGACTGTTGATCAAAGCACAGAATAGGTTCAAATGACTTTTCCACTGCATGTAAGTTTAATTAGACATTTCTTTGTTTTCAACATTAGAAGTGGTGTAACATGTAAGCTGAGCACAGTGGCATGCCTATAGTCCCGGCTACTTGAGAGGCTGAGGCAGGAGGATCACTTAAGCCCAGGAGTTTAAGTGCAATCTGGATAATATAACCAGATCCCACCTCTAAAAAACCCAACAACAACAAAAGAAATGATGCAACATGTAGGCTTCCTTAGGAAGTCTACCATTAATGACATAGGGCATAAAGCTCTATTTTTTGTTAAAAATACTTCTTATAGAGTAAAATTTCTTTAGAACTGATGTCCAAGGACCTATGCAGATTTATATGAATGTTGGAAGCTACAGAGATTTTGATATCATTTGCCTTATAAATCCACAGGAAGAGATAATGTATGGAAAACACTTAAATCACTGTCAATTGTAGAGCTGCCCGTGATCTTCGTAGGTTATAGCCAAGTCAGCAACATAATTCTTCTAAATAAAATTACATGGTGCTCACACAATGCAGGATTATTATGTTTAATTGAAGACAAAGCATGCTTGCTCCTAGTACTGGCGGCAACCTTTTCCTCCCCTCAGCTGGTAATGATGGTAGGAGACAGAGATGAAGCTGCCTGTGGATGTCATATCAATTCACTAGCTGCCTGGGGTCAAACACCTAGGGGTTGTACATTCCATTACTGTAAATGATTGAGAGCTGGTTTGCGGTATGGTTGGCTTAAGCATTTTTGAAGATGAACAGCATGTGCAGCCAAAGAACTAATTTGCTAATTAAGGTGAAACAATCATTCTGAATGAAATATAATCAGAGTATTCTGCAGTTTGTTAAGAAGTTTTGGGGAGGAGGGGAATGTGTCTCACAATAAAATGAGTTGGAATTGTGGAGCTAAATGAATTGAACCTGTTTTTTGACTCAGGCCTACTTAGAGCCTTTAATGTGTGCATGTGTAATGTGAATCCTCTAGAGAGCTTGGGTGGATGGAAAAGGACGTGCTGGTATTGAGGTAAAGAGGCTTGAGGAGGCTGGGCACGGTGGCTCACACCTCCAATCCCAGTACTTTGGGAGGCCGAGGTGGGTGGATCACCTGAGTTCAGGAGTTCAAGACCAGCTTGGCCAGCATGGTGAAAGCTTATCTCTACAAAAATACAAAAATTAGCTGTGCATGATGGCGGGTGCCTGTAATCCCAGCTACTCAGGAGGCTGAGGTAGGAGAATCGCTTGAGCCCGGGAGATGGAGGTTTCAGTGAACTGAGACACACCATTACACTCCAGCCTGGGTGACAGAGCAAGACTCCATCTCAAAAAAAAAAAAAAAAAAAGGCTTGAGGAGAAATGGCTTTAATTTTAATTTTTGGGGAAGATGACTTCTGTTAAATGATACAGTAAATTCTATTTTGGACATCCTGAGTGAGAGATAGGGTTGCCAATGAAGAAAGTGTGGGAAAGAGAAAGCTCTCAGCACAGCTACAGCTTTGCTGTTGTGTTCATTCAGAACTTGCATATAATTTTGTTTGCAGAGAACATTCTGCTGGTAGACAGCGAGAGAAGAGCCCACCAGTGTTTTATGCAATCAGAATCATTCCTTGCAGTATTAACATTCTCAAGGAAAATCAAATGTGGGCTCTTTTCTATAGACTTCCACCAGGGGGTGGTGGTGTATCAGATTCAGATACATTGGTACATTCAAAAATTTAGAAATGACTAGAAATAAAAGATGGATACCAGGTATATATATAGCGTGTGTGCTTCTTTTGAGATTTTGGAGTTTATACACCCCAAGTGCAACTCTTCTGAATTCTAAGTATTTGAGAAATGTATAAGTTTAGACAGACTGGAAACACACATATGTATCATACATAATCTGTGAAAAATAAAAGGTTATGATAAAATGGCATTTTTTAAAGAAGGAAATAATTTTTTAATAGTTAAAAATAAAAATGAAGGCCACGGTTCAGAATAGGTAGAATTTCTGTCATTTTGAGGCAGCTTTAAGTGTACTCCTTTGTTCACTGTGCCTGTGGTTTAGATCCTGTGGCATTTTCATTGCATGTGGTGGCTCAACTTCTATGACCTTTGCCTATTTGCTACTCTAGTTCAGCTTCACTCTGCATTTTATATTTCTAAAGTGCAACGCTGCAAGAGTGCAAGATTGGAGGCTTCTTGAGAAAGTGGTTGTGGCTGCATGCCCTGATTTCATTTTCACTAATTGCTAAGTATTTGTTCGCAGCGTCTCTGAAATATTATTCATTTCGGTCAGTAGCTGCCAACCTGGGCTGCACCTTAGAATCACCTGGGAAGTTTTTAAACAATGTCGACGCCCAGCACTGCTTTATGAAATTAGAATCTTTGGTGGGTGAGGCGGAGCTGCTGCATCAGTGTTTACTTAAAGCTGTCCACGAAGTTCTGAGAGCCAGGGCTGAGAACCGCTGAGCATTCCTTCCCTCCTCTCCTTCTAGGCCCCCGCTGCTAGCATCACCATTATCCTTCCCTTCCTTCCTCACTAACTTGGTGCATGGAGCTCAGAGGGATGTGCTCACTCAGGCAAGTGTGCCCTTAGGCACTTCTGGGCAAACTGGCCTAGAAGAATTAGCTGTCTCCCAAAGTAGCTCTTTAGAAATACTGGAACCACCTTGCTGGCTATCGGTCAGCTGCTCCAAGACAGCTATCTGTCTTTATCTGAAAGACAAGAGACTGAGTGTACAAATGGACAATGGCTAGACCACATATAAAAATAGAACTCTGGCCCACGAGCTGCAGCAACCTGCCCAGGAAACCAATTCCCTTATTTACAATAAACAACACAGGAAGCCAGCCTCCTATGTGAGTGTATCAGACTTGCAGGAAGCCAGATTGCTATCTCTAGAAATAATCCAGAAAGATAAACAATAACTTCTGTAACAATTCGCACAAAATGGCCAGGACTTGATTAATAACTGACAGCATCCCTAATTTTTGCCCCTACCTCTAATTTAGAACAAATCAGAGAAAAAAAAAATATTTGCCCCCACTTCTAACTTAGGACCAACCACATAGGATGTTCTGCTTCTAGTTAACTCGCCTACAGTGTCCCCATGCCTATCAGGACATATATGAAGTCTTCTCTTTTTTCTGTTGTGAAGCTTTCTCACCCCTCTGCCTACCTTTGAATCTCTGCCAAATGTAAGTGTGTAAGTGTGATGGGCTGACTCCCTTGCTATAGTAAAATCTAAAGAAATAGGCTTTGCCTTTCTCATTTGACTGGTGTATTAGTCAGGGTTCTCCAGAGAAACAGAACCAGTAGGACATATGTAGATACATAGAAAGAAATTTCTTATGAGGGTTGGCTCACACAAATTCTGGAGGCTGAGAAATCCCATGATGTGCTGTCTGCACGCTGGAGGCCCGGAAGTGCTGGTGTAGTTCTAGTCCAAGCCTGAATGCCTGAGACCCAGAGGAGCCAGTGGAGTAAGTCTGAAGGCCACAGTGCTGAAATCCAGGGGCAGGAGAAGACAGATGTCCTAGCTCAAGCAGAGAGCAAATTTGTCCTTCCTCACCTTTTTCTTCTATTCAAGCCCTCAACAGATTGGATGATGTCCACTCACATTGGTGAAGACAATCTTTTAACTTACTGATTCAAATGCTTCTCTCTTCCGAAGATATCCTCATATATACACCCAGAAATAATGTGTTGCCAGCCAGCTGGGCACCCTTAGCTCAGTCCATTTGACACATAAAATTAACCGTCACAGCTGATCTTCATTTACTTCAAAGATTTCAATGTTTATATAAGTTGAGGTCTTCCTGGGTAATCGGTGCTACTGCCTGAGAATAGACTGCTTTATTTTTTCTTTCTTGTTTTCTGTTTCAGAACATCTTTTATTTTTTTCTGAACATGAAGAACAACTGATTTCCTTCTTAAATCTCTGCTTTCAAGTGTCTGGCCTTTGTGGCTGAGTGTCTGCCTGCTGTGTCTGTGACCCAGAGGAGCGAGGCTGCTTTGAGCCCTGTCAGTGCCAGTGCGTGTTTCTTCCGCAGGCAAAGGTTATGCACAAACTTCTAGGATTTTTTTTTTCAACTTTTGGGATTTTATTTGCTTAGGAAGAAAAAATGTTAAACAGAAAGGCCATAGCCCAGTTGGACACAGTTGTATAGAAGAAAGGCTATTTTTAAAAATGACATATATTCTTCTTTTTATTGAATAATGCATTCAAATCAACTGATATTTGAACCAGTTTTTCTCAATCAATTAAAAGCTTTTGGAAAAAAGGAAGAAAAGGTTGGTGGAACATGTGTCCACTGGGAGTTGTAGTTCTTAGAAACCTGTTCCAGGACTTACATAACTTGTCAAATATTTGAAATAAATGTAGCATTTCTTTTATGTCTCTCATTTTTCTTCTTAAGGGTGTGAATGATGGAGGCACATTTGAAACCTGCTTCCTCAGGATATCATTCACTCAAGAAAAGCCAATTGAGATATTTAAGTGGTCCCTTTCTTCTTGAAAAATCTCAGCAGTTTTCCACCAGGCCTGGGGGTTTTATTATCCTAAGTGACTTTGCTGCCTATAAATCACAGCCCTAAGTAGCCAAAGGGAATGCGTTAACCAGATCTCTTAGAAATATAACCAATGTTTCTTCAATTATTAGCAGAACAATTGACTTCCATCTACTCAGGGCACCTGTCAACCTGGCCTGCAGCCATGATTCCCACAATTCCACCCGCCAGAGACTGTTCCCCTTGAATTATAATTTTTTTATCCTGGTGTGTGTTCTATGGTAGGAGTCCAGGACCCAATTTTTCATGTATCCCAGTATTTCTCTTCCTTGTAGATCCAAGTCATCTGGCAATGGAACGCAACCATTGTGATTGAAACTCCACAGGGTCTTCCTGCTCTGCCCAGGACTCCTTTCCTGGGAAATCTACTCAGACCTGGAAGATTCACTGTGTGGGCAGTATCCCTCAGGCCCTACCTCTCTGGTCACAGCTGATTGGATCAGAGGAAACTGTCACGTTTAGGCCCCATTGCAGGTAACAGAAACCCCCTAAATATCTGTTTAAACAAGGTGGGTATGTATTTCACTCACCTAAAAGAAGCCTCAATATAGGCAGTTTAGGGCTGTTGTGAGGTCTCCAATGGTCATCAGTGATCCAGGTTCCTTCCAGCTCATACTATGCTATCTCAAGGGTGTGGCCCTCGTGCTCACATCCAACATGGCAGTCAGAACTCCAGCCATCACATCATTATATCCACCCTCCAAGGACACTTCCTGGAAGGTTCACATAACACCTTTGCTTGTATTTTACTTCATAGGATTTAGCCCCAGGGTTACACTGAGATTCAAGGGAAACTGGGAATGTAGTCTTTTGTCTTGGTGGCAATGTAAAAGTCAGGGTTTTAGTAGGCTCTGCAAAAGTATCAAACTATAAATTGAGTTAGGTCAGTGTTTGGGCTCAGAAACTGAAACCCCAGAATATGGCACGTTGACATGCTGAACTGAAGAAGTCTCAAGGTCTGTCTGACCTCC